CCAGCCCATGCATATCCCAAGCGACAGATGTGAATTGGGGGGGGGACACTAAATTTCGGGAAGGATGATGGAGGGATGGATGGAATAAGCAGGCTGGACCTAATCTCCATGATCAAACGTGACTAGGTAGGGACGCGAGGGGATCTGCTCACAGTCTTGAGGTATAGAGTCATCTATCCATCCAGTGCTCTGCCACAGGGTGGGTATCATGATTCATTCCATCCGTCAATCACACAATCGTATACGTATACCTAGTCCGCAAACCTTCACCTCCGTGGAGAACCACAGCCAGCACGGGGTCAAAAGGTGTTTGGCTGTTTGTTGACCAGAGAGTTTAGGATGCAGGAGTGGCGTCGTTAATGCACGGCGTGCCGATCTTCGAGAAAAACTAGAAGACACAGCCAGAATGGGTCCAAAAAGGATGGGAGCAGATGACTTTGGCTCAATCCTTCCAGTTTATTACCCATCTACCTACCCAATCCCTTTTGACAAGGCTGACCTAAGAAATCACAATTGGAATGTTGAGTTGTTGGTTGGAGGGTGCTGCTGCTGGGACTGGGCGTCACCAAGGTATATTGGCAATTGGTATCTCGTCGTACATGAAACTTACACCTCTGGCTTATAAATCTGCAATGTGGGATAACTACTTATCCCAGTTAATCAAGCATAGTGAAGAAAAGACCCGACTAATACTATGGAGGGATGGATATCTACGATCGAGATCAGAATCCATCGTGGATTCGCTGAAGGAATCCACTTGCTGTCGGATCGTCCTTCTCTTCCCCCCTCAGATGTCCATCGGTATTGCCCGTACTTACTAAATCGAGGGTAAGTAAATAAATTAGGAAGTAAGTATCCAGTACAACTAACTGCCTACTAACCCAACTAGGGATGAACATCATATGCCAGCCAACTTACCAATAACGACCATCCCTCTCAGCAAGGACCATTAAGCTCTAGCCCGTTCGATTCCATGCTCTACGTCGGTCATTGTTCGCTCCGCAGCCACCCAACGAAAGAGGGGGGAAGGGCCGATTTGTGATTGCGCAGCTGCGGATGGATCCCATCGAAAGTCTCCGCCCCCACCCACCATGACTATAGTCTATACGGTGTATAGAGTACGGAGTACATACTTGAGAGGTAAAGCCAGGGAATGACAGTGACGGGATTTTACTTGGAACTAGTCGGTGAAACTGGGAACATGACAAGACTTGCTAACTACGGAGGAAACTAGGTATCTACCGCCGGCCATCTATCTCTAACGGGCGATCTCATCACGGTATTATACTGTATCATCCAGGAGTATCAACCAGCGATAAGAAGCATACTGATCATCCCCAAGGCTGGATGGGAAATATGATCCACGACGACTGACTCGCTTGGGTCTGTCTGCTTGTCTGTCACGCTCTCTCTTATCGCCAGGTCCCAGTCCATTACCCTGGTCAGGGTGGATCAGAGAGATACCTAATCATTTAGTTGGTCACTGGTAGCTTCGTGATCGACTGAGAATACCCCGCAATACCTTGTCGATGGAGATTACTCCCGACCGCATTCTAGTGAACCTGGTTGCTGCTCATGGGCGTCGCTTGTCTCACGCGGGTGGTTTGGAATAAAAGATAAAGGAATGAAAGGATTTGATGTATAGGCCTATGATGGTGGTCGTATTTCCTGTTATCAAGAAGGTGCTGTACTAGAGGGGTGGAAACCAACCACTGTCAGCGTGTTTGATCTGTACTGATGGAAGGGATGGAGAGATGGAAGGATGGATGGATGGATTAATGCCCAGATGATGCGCATCATCGCTTTTGTTCCTCCTGGCGGAGATTTTGATTCAATATTTGTGGTAATTCACATGTGTAGGTAGGTAGGTAGGTACCTAGTATATTGTTATTTACCTAGTATGATCCTGTATTATTGGATTAGGAATATGGTGTTATTCTTGCATCTGCTTATTTTCATTATTAATTCATCTATTATTTATTGATTTGTCCCTCCATTTCCCTCCTTTCACTTTAATCTAGTTTGTATTATTCTATTCCCGAGAAACGCAATGACTTCAGTCCCACCCGCCAAACTATGTAACTCACGTTTCTTCCCTCCCCCCCATCCCTCCCTCATCCTGCATATATACGAACCAGGGTGACGGCCCCAAAAGGAGATCTGAAACAAGACTTCGTCGGGAAGATGGGTTACTTTACTACCCCCCCATGCAGACGGAGAGCCCGTAGATAGGTGGAATACGAAGGTAGTAAGGTGGCACCATGTCAACAAGACCCCGGTGATCGGTGACTACCGCGTCGAAAATCTCCGATCTGCATGGATTGCACGACTTTATGACTTCCCTGGTACGACGTTTGCCTGTCTGCTGTACCTCCCCTTTGGTACCGTTGCCAAACGACATGGGTCTGATGTTTTGTTTGTACTGTATACTTTGTATGTGTCTTGTGGGTTGATGGGGACTAGATCGGTGGTCGATCCGTCGCCACCCGGGTTTTCTTATCAAGTGGATGGGAGGAGGAGAGGAGGAGAGGAGAGAAGGAGGAGAAGGAGGAGGGGCTACGAGAACCCGCCTTGCATTGTGCAGGGTCACTAGTATGTATTCCAGTGTGGAGTACGAAGTAGTATAGTATAGTATGCACAGGATGCATATCTAGTGCGTACTCCACGGCTCTACGGCGACGGCTCCACGGCCTGAGGAGGTCCGTATCTCCTTGGCCCGAACACACTCGTGATGGCCCTGACTGAACATTAAGAAGCACAAGTGCGACCCCTGCTATCAAATACCTTGGTTTCTTTCGAGCTAAGCTGGATAGTACATCCAGACTAGTATCATATTGGTCATTGTGAACGTGACAATGTCATCGCCTCAGGAATGTCGGTGTAAATAACAGATGACGATAGAGAAAGCTGACAGGATTCGCCGACACTCTGGAGGCGTTGTTCCTTGCTGACGGGCTTGTGCACCAACAAACTCACTGACAGGTGCGCTGCTAATAATGGCATCCACACAAGTTCGATGACGTTTCTCAGCCTTGGGGCGTCGTTTGGTTGTCCCGTTGATCCTTGAGAGATATACCTAGGCATCATGCTATCCAGCAGCGAATTGAGAGCCTCACTGTCAGAGTAAGCGGGTGCTCCGAAACTGCCCCTTCTTTGTTGATTTGACATTTTCCCTGTTCTTATATTAAATTTTCTTTGTCTGCACTGCATTTCCCCACTTCGGTCTCTGCGATTGCAATTCGACCCGGTGGTCTGGGTACTGACGACACCGATAGTATGAACCAGGCAAGACGTAATACATATGCTACGACTGGTGGCTTTTAGTCGAATCATATTCATGTCTGCCTTTTTCCTTCTCTACCCTTTCTCCGAGGAGCGGTACGAGGAACGGTACTCGGGGAGTCAAGCCAACATTCAAGGACCGAGGATGCGATTATCCTTGTAACCTGCGTTATAGTAGCATCGGCCGTCCATTGGAGAACGACAATACGGTCCATGTCCCTTTGCGGTGAGTTTGCTGTTGACTGATCCCCATAATATATAACGCTCTTGGCCGATTGAAGACTGATTGATGGAAATAGCAATTAATATGGCCGATGTCACCGTTCCCTTGCGTGCCAGGGGCAAGCCCCGCGACCTTCCATGTCGCTATATCCCAACTTCCCTTCGTTATATCACGGCCCATCAGCAACTCCCAACCACGGGCTCACCGTGGCGCAATGAGATCCTGAAGTGGAGCGGAGCAGAGAATCAAGGTCGAGTTGAGCACGTTCCCGTTTCGGACTGGCCACCGCCAAAGAAAATCATCCTTTGTGCCTTTTGTGCGACATGGTCATCATCTTGTGGCAAAGCCTCGCGCCACTCGTCCCATATGGTATTACTCCTTCGGCCGATTATGGCCATCGCTTGATGTCTGTCCTCCGATGGGCAGGTAGTATAGTTCACTCCCCGGGCGGCCCAGCCCGCCCGGGTGTAATGAATGCTATTCGATCCATTTATCGTCCAAGGATGGGAAATATCATGGGTATTTGAAGCAACTCGCCCAATCGACTCGACGGACTCGGCCCATCAACCAACCATATATCGTGCCACCCGTCTAGAAAGAGTCACTTCTTAAAGACCATGGTAAGCAAGCGCATGGCGCATCAAAAACAGCCATTCGAGTCGGTCGGCTTTTGCCCCCTCCCAGCAACAACCCTGGGGACCTGCCACCAATCGGCCCCGGGTGCCAACCGCAGCGCAGCAAAAAGGAAAGAGAGAAAAAGCGACCACTGCGAGTTGTCCCTCCCATCACCGTCCGTCGAGATGATGGCCTCGCACGTTGGTTGGCTCCGCGTCACGCTAGACTCGGAGAATACGAGGGGAGGGAATAAACTCTGGAACGGTGATTCGATCTGCAATATTTTCTCTGGAAGGAATATCCCTTACGGGGCTTGTTGACAGGCGCCAGGATGAGGCGATCCGAACGTTCGTTTTGGTCGCCGAGGCTCGACTCTCCCTGTTTGGAGGGACGGGAGAAACACAAGGGCGCTCGCTGTCAGACCGTGTGTCGCAACCTTAATATTCCATCAGAGTTGGACATGCACACGTGTCTGTCCGGGGAGGCTCCTTGGTTAGTTATGTTCATTCGTGACTGACATCAGGATATTCGTGAGTGGTTCGATGACCTCGTGTAGGATCAGATCGGATCGTCAAGATACTCTATTTGGTTTCTTTATTCCAGCTGTCGCATGACCTCTGCATGATAATGATATCATTGTTTACGTACCCATCACCTAGTCCGTAGTCAGTTCTGATTGACTCGATGTAGAATGAATCTTGATCTTTATCTCGATCGTGCCTGTCACCTGATATGCTTACATAATGGACGATAATGGATCAACATCAACATCAGCACCAAAAAACATCACCACGACCACATTCCGGCCATCCATTGGAATTTCCCTGCTCCATTACCAGCCGAAGATCCACCAAGGGCTGCGCTCTGCAATTGGATCATCATGGAATCCGCAGGAGCCCAGAAAGACCCCAGCGACCAGGTCTTCATCCTGGTCACCGGCGCCAACAGGTACTTGCCCTCCCCTGAGATCAGATAACAGATATAACCCCCCGTTCATACTCTAACCCGTCTCCGTCTCGCAGTGGCCTCGGCTTCTCCATATGCTGCCGCCTGGCCGACGAATTCCTCAGAAGCAGCGCCAACGCGCAAAAATCCCTAACAGTCGTCTTCACAACGCGGAGCACAAAAAAGGGGACCGACACCCTCCGCCGTCTGCAAGACCACCTCCGCGCCAGCCCCGCGCCCCGCAAAAACCAAGTCACCTTCCTCCCCGAGAACGTCGACCTCTCGAACCTGCTCTCCGTGCGTGCCCTCTCCCGCCGTCTCAACAGCACCCTCCCCAAACTCGACTCCATCATCCTCAATGCGGGCGTTGGCGGCTGGACGGGCATCGACTGGCCCCGCGCTATCTGGGGCGTTTGCACGGACCTCGTCCATGAGGTCTCTTGGCCCTCGTACAAGGTCGCCCCCGCGGGCATGGTCACCGAGTCGCAGATTCCACAAGGCGAGAAGGAGGGAGAGGTGGAGGGGGAGGTGGAGGAACCCCGGCTGGGGGCGGTGTTTTGCGCAAACGTCTTCGGACACTATATGCTTGCGCACAACGTCATGCCGCTCCTGCGTGCCTCCAACGACGATACGTCTACTTTCAGCGGCCGCATCATCTGGGTATCTAGCCTCGAGGCTTCCAAAAAGTACTTCAACATCGACGACCTGCAAGGCCTGCGCACGACAGCACCCTACGAGTCCTCTAAAGCCCTCACCGATATCCTAGCCCTCACCGCTGACCTCCCGTCCACATCTCCCTGGGTCAACAGTTTCTACTCCACCAGTACCTCCACCACCACCACCCCCAGTACCTCCTCCTCCACCATAACCAGAACCCCATCAACAACATCAAGAACATCCACAAGATCAACAACAACCACGACCACAAAAACCGCGCCCCCAACAGCAACCCCAACGGCAACCCCCACCCCCTCCATCAAAGAACCCCAAACCCCCCAACCAACAACCCACCTCTCCCACCCCGGCATCTGCGGCACCTCCATCCTCCCCCTCTCCGCCCCCCTCTTCTACAGCATGCTCATCGCCTTCTGGCTAGCCCGCATGCTCGGCTCCCCCTGGCACAACAAGACCCCCTACATGGGCGCCTGCGCCCCCGTCTTCCTCGCCCTAGCGACCCAATCCGTCCTCGACGGCCGCGAGGCGCCCTACCGCGCGCACGGCGGCTCGCGCGTGAAATGGGGCTCGTCGTGCTCGCGGGGCGGTGTGAACTCTGCCGTGTCGACTGAGGTGGACGGGTGGGGCCATGGGGGTGTGGTTGGGACGCCTGTTGTTGAGGAGGATAGGCTGAGGAGGAGGAAGAGGGGCGATGCGGATTTGGGGAGCGAGGAGAAGGAGGAGTTTGTGGAGTTGGGGAGGAGGTGTTGGAGGGAGATGGAGGTTTTGAGGGGTGTTTGGGAGGGCGTTTTGGATAGGGTTGAGGGGGGGAGGGTTTGATTTTTTTTTTCCTCTTTATCATACTTTTCGTCTTCCGTCTTTCGTCTTTCATTTTCATCTCTTGATTATGATGGGTGATGGGTGCGAGATGATGGGTGAGAGATGAGGAGTCCCTTTCTGATTTATCTTGTTAAATACGTCGTGGACTTATAGTATATACCACAACCACTGTAATATCTCTAGACAGATGCATATAGATATACTCATACAATACAATACGATACAACAATCAAACCTAACTCATTGATCTGAATTCCTGTCTGTCTGTCTGTTTGTCATATATACAATTCCAATCCTGAAACCCCATGTCCGCATACATCATTAGAATAAGACTAAGCAAAAAGAGCATCCCCACACCCAATACAATACCCGGATAGGATATACCGTGTACTCTTTCTTTCTTTCTTTCTTTGGTATTAGACGCCTCTTATTCCACCCATTCATTCATTCATTCCAAGATGAATCGAGGAGAAGGCAAAGACTATAGTCGAAGACAAACAGTTGGGTTTCAAACTTTGGACGGTTGGACTGACTGCGCGGCAGGATTCCGATCCCGGGGGGGAAACACAGGGGGTGAATTGAGAAAAAAAAAAAAAACAAGAACGTCAACAGAATAAGGGGGCAAAATTAGAATTGCTGTAAACGGGTCAAATAAATAGGATAACCACGGCTACCCCCTCAGTTATACACCACCATCAAGGCTGGCGCGTGGGGATGACGCCGGGTAAGGACGAATGTAGGAAGAGAGAGAGGGGGGGGGGGGGTTGATGTTCGAACGCGGTGAGTTTCGAATGGAGAAGAATGTCGGACTCGTTCTTGTCGTCGATTTCGATGATCCCCATGACAGGTACTTATGTCAGGGGAAGGCGAGGAAACAGCGCCCTTTTGTGCATCCGACGGTCCAACGTGGGGGTGGTGGGAAAGAAAAAAGGAGGAGGGGCGGAGGATGGTCGTAGAAAGGTGATTACATGATGATCGCAGGGACTATGAAACATTAGTGCTGATTCGTGATCCGAACATATGAATGACTTACCATCGACATTTTGCTTGATACTCTTGTGGGGTAAGATGGAACCACCATTGACATAGACCTCATCGGCGATGGTGACATCGTCACCGAGGACGGTCACATTTTCCAGGCGCGCCCACTTGCCCACGGAGCTGTTCCATCCGATGATGGTCGACTTGACCCAGGCATGATCCTTGACCTTGCTGTTCTCCAACAACACACAGCGCTGCAGACGCACTCCGTCCCCGACCACCACGTTGGGGCCGATGACCACGTTGGGGCCGACGCGGCAGTTCTTGCCGATCTTGGCCGACGGATCGACCATGACGTTGCCGCCGTAGACGTAGGACTCGGAGTGAGGGGCGAGGAGCTTGGAGTTGCGCTTGGCGAGCGAGGTGAGGTAGAGGCAGGTGCCCGTGAGGAAGTCCTTGGGCTGACCGACGTCCATCCAGAAGCCCTCCAGGTCGAAGGAGTGCAGCTGGCCGTCGTTGCAGATGGCGGGGAAGGTCTCTTGTTCGATGGAAGTGGGGCGCAGTTCGATGCGGTTCAACACACTGGGGTTCAGGATGTAGATGCCGGCGTTGATGCGGTTGCCGACGAACTCGACGGGCTTCTCGACGAAGCGGTCGATGCGCGAGGCGTGGTTGGGCTTGTGGACGACGACACCGTACTTGGAGGGCTCGTCGACCTTGGTGACGACGATGGTGCCCTCGTCGCCGTGGTTCTTGTGGAATTGGGCCAGCTGCTTGAAGGGGAAGTCGCAGATGATATCCGAGTTCAACACGAAGAAGGGCGAGTCGTCCTTGCCAAGGATCTTCTCCGCCAGCTTCAGCGGACCAGCCGTGCCCAGCGGTTCCGTCTCGACGGAGAACTCAATGCGAACATTGTATTGCTCCTCGTACTTCTTGAGGGCCGCCACCATCACGTCGGGGCGGTAGTTGACGGCCAGGACAATATCCGTTACTCCGGCGGCGGCCAGACTTTCGACTTGGTGGAGGATCATGGGACGATTGCCGAACTCGACCAGAGGTTTGGGGAGGGTCAATGTCTACACCAGCGATGGTCATGGTTAGCCTGTATTCGGACGAGGATGGGGCCATCGCATTGACACGTATTGGTGGGAGTGGTGTGGTATGCGGGGAGGGGGGGGGGTCGGGTCTCTACTCACCAAAGGTCGCAGACGGGTTCCAAACCCTCCGACAAGAATGAGAGCTGTTGTGATCAAATTAGCTTCATGATGCAGATCCCCAATAATACAATTATACTGTACATACCCTTCATGGTGGGTTGGTTGGAGGAAGGTTATTATGAGGGGACAGCGGGATGATTCCGGTGGTGGGGGGGGGGGGGGGGGGGGGGGGAGGAGAGATAGGTCGAAAGAAGTCAGGAAACCCCAAGAGAAAAGGAAAGAAGATTTAAAAAGGTAGAGAGTAAAGCCCAGGACAAGACCAAGGTTGCCGAGACCAGAATTGACGCTGGAGAAGACACACAAGAAAAGAGAAGGAGGAAGTGGGAGAGGGGAGATGGGAGAGTGATGGGGAAGTAATAACAAAGGAAAGGATCAGGAGAACAGCTGGATGGATGGATCCATTCCAGATCCAGGGGAGGTGGCAGGTTACCGTACCGTATCATCTGCTCCTTTCCCCCTACTGTTTGCGGATGATCCATCTAGGCCTTGGACAACTCCACCGTCCATGAAGTACAGTATGGTACGGTAACCTCCTGTTACTCGGATTTTCTGGAAATTAACTGCACGTTCGGTCTGATATTACTCTGGACGATGGCCTGCAGCAGATCGTTCGGGGTGGCAAGGTGTCTCAGTTATATCACCAGATCTTGTGATTCTGGTGTCCTTGATCTGGTCTTTTTTTCTTTGTCTTTGTCTTGGATTTGGTTCTTCGTATTCTTGTTGTATTGACAATTATATTCTTATTCTTGTTACATTTACAATATATTATAATAACCAGGTAGTCCCAATGTCACGGTGTGGGTTCCCCGTCATTTGATCCATCTTCTGCCGCTGATTCGGCATCCATCGTTGTTTCAAACCTGTCCCAAGTCCGGTCGTGCTTGGCATGGCGTGTCCTGACCCATCCCCCTGTCCCCGAGGGATCCAAGCCGCCTGGACCAGGGTGTCGGACGTGGAATGATTCCTGCATCCAGGATCATCCAGATATCAACATGCCTGACACTGTCCATCCAGATCAGGTCAGTAAAACGGTGGAATTTCCACCAATTCCACCGGCATCAGGTATTCTCCCCCTTTTTTCTAATTATAAGTACCGGGCGTATCAGGTGGGAGCACGGGTTTCGAATTAGTCACTCCCGCCCCCTCACCGCCTGCTCCATCCGGCGAACTGCCCACAAACCGCCGGATCCACTCGCGCACCTGGCTCACTTTCGCCAACGGCAGATCGTCTGTCTTGGCTGCAGGATGAGTTTGAGGGACGTCGCGGAGTTGCCGCGCGCTGTACAGACCGCCTGCGTCACTCGCGTCCACCCGCGGTCGGTGCAGGAGGTCGACCTTGGTGACCCCCTTCCGTAGGCTTTGCCCGTATACCCGTTCGCGGAATGAGCTCAGACCAACCATGCGCAGCAGCACAATGTCGCGGGGTCGCAGGCCTAGGTCGCCTCCCTCAGCGCAACCTCGTGCGGCAACGGCAACACCACCCTTTGTCGGGTCCACGGGCGCCAGCCAGAGCGTAACCCCAAATCCACTGCGTGTCTCGTCCCCCACGACCATCTCCACCAGATCCAGTTCCTTCTTCCATTGTCGCGTCACAATGCGACGTGGCGGATGGATTGTGATGATACTGACAATCAGGTTGACCGTCATGGTCTGGGGCACAATGGACTCGAGGTAGCTCGCCCTGGGGATGTCCTGGAGGTCGGTCACCGGTCCCTGGATCGGCGGCATGGGCGCTGGAGCCACTTTGTCGCCCTCGTTGCTAGTCGCGATCGAAGTCGCCGTGCTGCCAGCCCAGAGGTCGCTCTCCTCCATGGAATCCGGCGCAGACACCGTGGAGGTCTCGTGGATCGTGAAGGAATGGTTGTAGAACTGCGAGAGCGTCGAGTCGTCGGGAAGTTCGGAGGGGATACTCCCATCGGGGATATCCCCCTCCTCGCGACTGGTAAGGTCTCGGGTCGTCAAGAACTGGGTGACTCCGCCTCCGTATAGCTTCCCCTCGAGAGCCCCGCGCTTCGGTAGCAATCTCCATTTGACCGGCTGCGTGTCCGACGAAGACCGGTGCCCTTCATTCTGGAAGGGAAAGGTAGGCTCGTTGAGGAGCTCTGTTTCATCCCAGTGGAGGTTCTGGACGGTGGGGGCTCCCATGAGGAAGATCATTTTCTTAGGCATGATGGCAGATGACCATATAAGAGCGGCCATTCAACATCGTAAATGAATGAATTGAATGTAGTTGGATTGAGCTTTCCGTCCCCAGGCGAACTTCACGGTTCACCATCAATCAATCTCCCTGATGACGAGTCCCTGCTCCAATCTGTCTACCGGATCGAGTGTCCGTCCTTGAGGCGGGGAGTCTGTCAACTACGATTGGCATTGGGAGTGAATAGTCACCATCCCCGGATACTGACAGCTGTTATGTACACCCTGTCATGGGATGCATCTCATAGATCAGTTGACGGTCCGAATGAATGAATGGTTGCCATCTCCACCGTTAGAATATAAAAGTATGGATGACGGTGGAATCGGCCAGAAGCCCTGCTGCCTGGGGCACCCACACGTGACAGACCTCCGGCCGGGCACAGCGACCGCCGTGGCAAACCCAACCGATGGTTTCGCCGCCCGGCGTGGAGAGAAGCAAGTTCCTGTTTCTCATTCAATCATCTATCCTACTTTGATCCCTAGTGTCGAGTTGGCTGTCATCTTCATATGATCGGTGATGGCACTTTGTCTGTTTGAAGAATAACCTTACTCCCTGTCTTCTCTTTTCATCCTACTCCCAAGGCCCCCACTCTGATCTCCATCGTCGCGGCCGAGCGCCGCCTCTGGGCAACCATGATGGCCTTTCAGCTCCCCATTCCCAGGCCGGTGAGTCACTGTCTTATCCTCCACACGTTCGAAATTGTTTGATCTAATGCTGGATTGCGAAATAGAATGTTGCTGCGGCGACTTCGGACCTGTGGCCGACCATGTCGACGACGCTGAACGCGCCTTGGAAGAACGCTAAACGTACCTTTTCCGCCTCCGCCTCCGCAGCGTCTCAGCTCCCCGCCCAGCGCACGCCGGCGGAAGCGAAATCAACGGTATGGGCTTTCTGTCAGGATGGGGATCATAAGAATACCGGTACTAATGGATTCATAGACACGCCGTGGCGTTTCACTCCCGGAGTGCTTGAACACAGTGTCCTCCGAAGCGCTAAGGGCAGACGTGTTGTATAAGCCCATGCAGTCTTGGGCCTCGTTTCGGACTACCTCTCTCGCGATCCGTCCCTTCTCGTCTCGTTCCTATTCCACGGTGACCAAGGGTCTGGGCGGTTTCCACGCCGCTCCCAAGGTCAACGGACTCTCCAGGCTACAGCAACAACGATTCCTCTTTGGCGGCCCGTCTCACAACCTGTTGGCTCAGAAAGAGAAAACCGCGAACAACAACCCCAACAGCGCCAGTGCCCAGAATGCTTTCTACCAGTCCCTCCTCCGCGCCAACATGCCCGCGATTGTCGTCGAACGATATAAGAGTGGCCATTTTGCCAGCAACCCTCTCTCGGAAGCCATCTATCTCAAGTCCCTGCAAAAGGTGGGTGGCGCTGACGCTGCCGCCGCCGTCGCCCCCGGTACCAACCAGAACCTGAATCCTGAGCAACTGCAGGCCATCGGCCAGGCGGTCGCGGCCCGGAATCATGGCGGTCAGGTCGGAATGGCCACCAAGCAAAACGGGACCGGTGCGAAAGAGGCTCCTCTGTACGTCGTCGTGGAAGAGTCGCTGGGCAGCGCCGTGTTCCGTTGGGTCAAATTCCTGCTCTACTTCGGCTTCTTCACGTACTTGTCTCTTGTCCTGGTCACCATCCTTGTCGAAACCACCGGTGTTCTGAAGAACATCCGCGGCCCCCAGAACAACGAAGCGCAGCCTCAGCAACAGACCGTTCGCTTCAGCGACGTGCACGGATGCGACGAGGCCAAGGATGAGCTGCAAGAGCTGGTGGAATTCCTGCTGAACCCCGACCGTTTCTCGTCCCTCGGTGGCAAGTTGCCCAAGGGTGTGCTTCTCGTGGGCCCTCCCGGTACTGGTAAAACGCTTCTGGCTCGCGCCGTCGCCGGCGAGGCTGGGGTTCCGTTCTTCTACATGTCCGGCTCGGAATTCGACGAAGTGTACGTGGGTGTCGGCGCCAAGCGTGTCCGCGAATTGTTCAGCCAAGCGCGAGGCAAGGCTCCGGCCATCATCTTCATCGACGAACTGGATGCCATAGGAGCCAAGCGCAACGAGCGGGATGCGGCCTATGTGAAACAGACGCTGAACCAGCTGCTCACTGAGCTCGATGGATTTTCCCAGACCAGCGGTGTTATCATCATCGCGGCCACCAACTACCCTCAACTGCTGGACAAGGCCTTGACGCGTCCCGGTCGTTTCGATCGGCGCGTGGTCGTGGGGCTGCCGGACGTGCGCGGTCGCATGGATATCTTGCGCCACCACATGAAGGAGGTCCAGACCGGCACGGATGTCGACGTCGGCGTGATCGCTCGTGGGACGCCCGGTTTCTCTGGTGCCGATCTTGAGAACCTGGTCAACCAGGCAGCGATCCACGCCAGCCGGGACAAGAAGACCAAGGTTGGCGCCAGGGACCTGGACTGGGCCAAGGACCGGATCATGATGGGTGCCGAGGCGCGCAGCCGGGTCATCCAGGACAAGGACAAGCTGCTGACGGCGTACCACGAGGCGGGGCACGCGCTGGTGGCCTACTTTTCGCCTTCATCGACGCCGCTGTACAAGATCACTATCGTTCCCCGTGGCATGGCGCTGGGTGTGACCCACTTCCTGCCCGAGATGGACATGGTGTCGCGGAACTATACTGAATATCTGTCGGACATTGATGTGTCGATGGGTGGGAAGGCTGCCGAGGAGCTTATCTTTGGGCCTGACAAGGTTACGAGCGGTATTTCAGCTGTATGTCCTTCTTTTCCTTCTTTCCCGTCTTACTAGAACTAACGATATGCAGGACATCCAACAAGCCACCGAAACCGCCTTTACTTTGATCACCCGATTCGGCTACTCCAAGAAACTCGGAAACGTCGACCTGTCGAGCAACTACGACAGCCTGTCCTCGGAGACCAAGCAGGAGATCGAAGCCGAAGTGCGCCGACTGGTAGAGGAGGCTCGCGCCCGCGCGTCCACCATCCTGACCGAAAAGCGCAGCGAGCTCGAACTGCTGACCAAGGCGCTGATCGAGTACGAGACTCTGACCAAGGAGGAAATGGAGAAGGTCCTCCGGGGCGAAAAGCTGCCCAAGATGGAGATCGCGCCCGAAGCACCGCTCATCCTGCCGGATGCACTGCAGACGACACGACTGCAGGAAGAGGCAGCCGAGCCCCCAGCGTCGACTCCGACCCGATCGCCCGAGTAGTTCATTTTTTTTTGACCTTATTATCTCCTGTTGATATCCTCCTCTCTCTTCTCCGCATGTTTCTTTTTCTCTCCTCGCATGTTCTTTTTTTCCTCTTTGGCATGTCCCTCTCGTCATTCCCATCCTCTATCTTGAGCTCGATTTCCTTGTCTGATCTCCAAGTTGAAATAGCATGCATTGGCAGGTTGATGGCCAGCGATGCTCATTGTATTGTACTGTATTGTACACGCATATAGAAATTGGTCAATGTCTACATACCATTCTTGATATATATCCTGTCTGACATGGTGTGTTGGAGTGGATTAATGTGTTGGAGTGAATGTAACATGGTACGGTTTGGGTTCCATGACGCAAGATATCTGGGCGGATATCACGGGACTTCCATTCTTTCTGTTGGCCGTCCGTCAGACACAACCCTGAAAGACCGAAATTTATTATATATATTGTACATGTTACATATATCTCATTATACGACCATGTATACTTCGCCATGAGACATCGTCTATCGAGCTCATTCAGCGTGGGACATCCCCGTCTGATCAGAACAACCCCGCTGCTGTGTTACCAGTCCACCAACACATCCATCACCCACCTACCTCTACTCTAGTAGCGAGTGATTGATAGAATATACAGATGAATAAATAGGTAGACAGGCACAAAAGCCACCACGCCAATGCCAACCCCCACCCACCCAACACCTCCGGCGCCGCACGCGCATATACATCCCCCCCAACCACCCAACCCAGCCATAACACAACCACCACAACCATCAAACAACATGCAACCAGCCAAGTCCCCACGATGGACCAACTGGAACTGGAGCCGCTGGAAATTCCACCCAAAACTACACATGCGGCCCCCCGACGACGACGACCCGCAAGACTGGTGGTTCGCGTCGACCGCCATCCCGCTCATATCGGCCACCACGAGCCCGCTCGCGAACGTCATGTCGATTGTTGCGCTCGCGATGCGCTGGCGCTGTAATGTGCATTTTGATCGCAGTGATCGGTTGGGGGATCCGGTGCAGACTACGTATGGGGATCCGGGGTGGTATGTTCTTCTATCTATTATCTTTGTCTATATCCATATATCCACATATATGGATATGTGTAGATGGATATGTCTAAGGCTAAAGGGATAGGTGCATCGCGTTAAACGCCATCTCGCTGGTGTGTGGGTTAGCAGGGAATGTATTCCTACTCTTTAACTTTACCAGAGTCGTGAGGTATATTGTTGCGTTGCCCGTGTCAATCGTGTGTTGGGTTTTGGCTACTGCTACTGTAACTCCTCTTTCCCTTCTCTGCTTCTTCCTCTTCAGAGGTATACAAAGATCTAAACTAATCAAGTCAATCAAAGCTAGTCTCAAGCATAACAGCAATGCACATCTACGCGCCCCCAATCCACCCCTCCCAAACCTACTCCCAAGCCTACTGGAGCGCCGTCATCGCCTCGTGCCTCTACTTCCTCCTCGGCGTGCTCCTCCTCATCAACCTCCTGGGCTACATCCGCGGCCACTACCCGCAGCACTTTGCACTGACAGACTCGCAACGCACGCTGATTCTCCAAACAACAACCTTCGTCATCTGGCTGCTCATCGGCGCGGGCGTCTTCCACCGCGTCATCGACATCTCCTTCGCCGACGCGCTTTACTTCTCGGACGTTACGATCTTAACCCTCGGGTTCGGCGACATCCCGCCCACGACGGCTGCGGCGAAGGCGCTGGCGCTGCCGTACGCTGTGATGGGGATCATCATCCTGGCGCTGGTGGTGGCGAGCGTCCATCGCTCTGTGAGGGAGGTGAAGCACAATAACGTTGTGATGAAGCATGCCGAGCGGCGGAGGCAGGCTGCTCTAGAGCACTTTCGTTCCCTACACGACAAGCCCTCCCCCTCTCCGCCACCGGGCGTCCCACCCCAGGCACCAGCAGGGACCGAACCCGAAGACAAAGCCCGCTTCCACGCCATGCGGTCCATCCAAAACAACACGTCCCACTTCCGCCGCTACTTCAACCTGTCCCTCAGCATCCTGTCGTTCATGGTAGTCTGGACCATCGGCGCCGTCGTCTTCTGGAGCATCGAAGCGCGCCAGGGGCTGAGCTACCAGGAAGCGCTGTACTTTGGGTTCTGCTCGCTGCTGACGATCGGGTACGGCGATATCACGCCAAGGACGAATGCGGGGAAGCCGTTCTTTGTGGTCTGGTCGCTTGTGGCTGTGCCGACTATGACGACGCTTATTGCGGAGATGAGTGATACGGTTGTGGATGGGTTCAAGAGGGGGATGGATGTTGCGGGGGATTGGACGGTGTTGCCGCATCCGGGGCAGTATAGGGCTTTGTTTAGGGTTCTGGGGGGTGGGTGGGGGAGTAAGAGTAAGAGTAAGATTAAGAGGGAGGGGGGGGGAGGTGATAATATTCGTGGTATTCATGGTATTCATGGGAGGGGGAGGGATGAGGAGCGGGGAGGGGATTCTTCTTCTTCTTCCTCTACTACTTCTCCTAGTCCTTCGACTACCTCCTCTTCACCCTCATCATCCTCCTCCTCTCCTCCTTCTCCCTCCACTACCACCACCACCCCAACAACCCCCCAACAACACCACCCACACCCCCCGGAAAAACAACCCCCCCAACCCAAAAAACAACCCCCAATCAACCCCTCCATCCTCGTCCACCAACTAGCAATAACCATCCAACGCGTCACAAAAGACGCCACCCTCGCCCCCTCCTCCTCTTCCTCCTCTCCACCCAAACAATACACCTACACCCAGTGGACGGTCTTCAAGCGTCTCATACAGAGTTCCGGCGCGGCCGCCTGGGCCGCTTCCACCCATACACATGCCTCTCTTCCTCCCGACGATAGGCGGGAAGAGTTCAAGCGGAAGGAAGACGCGTATGGGTTGCTGGACTGGGATTGGATCGGGGTAGAGAGTCCGATGATGGCGGGGAGGACGGAGCCCGAGTGGGTGCTGGATCGGTTGTGTGAGAGCTTGGTGAGGGTGGTGGATTTGGGGAGGTCGAGTGTTGCTTTGGCTACTGCTTCTGATGTTGATACTGCTGTGGATTAGGAAATGATGGAGATAGATATCTATGTACTTATTTAGTTATGTATGTATATATGTATGTATGTGATGAACTATTCGTATATCTATATGTATGTCCTATCAATCCCATCTGATGAGACCGACGTATGTTACCTGATCGTATCGGGTATCCCAAAGAAACCTCCAGAAAGCCCCAACCCCCAGTCAGAAAAACATCGCTAAATCGCAAACCCCAAGCTATTGAACAAGAAAAAGAAATAAGGTTGAAATATAAAATGCAACTCATTCACCATCAACTTCCCCATCCATGTCGCCTGCATCCACCCAGCCACGGGACATCTCCACGGCCTTGGACCATTGGCCGTACATCTTCTTGCTCTGGACGGGCGAGATATGCGGCGTGAAGGTGGTGCGGTTGGCACGGTTCATGTTCCGGAGCTCGCTGAACTCCTTCCACACGCCCATGGCGAATCCGGCCGCGATGGCGGCGCCCAGGGCGGTCGTCTCGTGCATCGAGGGTCGCTCGACGGGGATCTGGATGATATCGGCTTGGGTCTGGTCTTATTAGTACCGGAGATCGAAAGGAAGGTGAGAGAGGGGAGACACTAACCTGCATGCAAATATCCGAATTGCTCATACCTCCGTCCACAGCCAGCTCGGTCAGTTTGTGTCCACTGTCCATCTCCATGGCGTCCAGAATGGCTTTGGTCTGGAAACAGGCGGCCTCCATGGTGGCGCGGGCGATGTGCCCTTTTTGAGTGAACTGAGTGATGCCGACTACTCCAGTCAGTCGAAAGTTACAAGTAAGAGGGGGGGGGGGGGAGAAGGGAGAACATACAGATGGTTCCCTTGGCATCGTCAATCCAGTACGGAGCGAACAAACCACTGAAAGCGGTAACGAAGAAGCACCCTCCGTTGTCCGGCACGGAGCTAGCCAAATCGCTGACCTTGCGCGAATCACGGAAGAAACCCATGTTGTTCATCAGGAACGAGACACCGCTACCGGCGACGGCAACGCTACCTTCGAGAGCGTAGGTGGGTTTTCGGTCGCGCCCCAGCTGGAAGCCGACGGTAGCCAGCAGGCCGTGCTTGGAGATGACGGGTTTGTCGCCGACGTTGTACAACATGAAGCAGCCGGTACCGTAGGTGTTCTTGGCCATGCCCGGGGTGAAAGCGCAGTGACCGACGAGGGCGGAGGACTGGTCGCCCAGACAGCTGGTGATAGGGATGCCGTCGAGCGGGCCGGAGCTGACGTAGCCGTAGCCCTCGCGGTCGGCGGAGGGGAGGATAGTGGGCAGGCGGATCTTCTTGCGGTCGATGCCAAAGAAGTCGAGCAAGCGATCATCGTAGTCGAGGGTCTCGAGGTTCATGAACATGGTGCGGGAGGCGTTGGTGACGTCGGTGACCAGACGGCCGCCGGCGGGTCCACCGTTCAAATTGTAGATGAGCCAGGTGTCGACGGTACCAAAGGCCAGGCGGCCGGCCTCGTAGGCCTCGCGGACCTCGGGTAGGTTCCGGAGCATCCAGACGAGGGTGACGGAAGAGGGGTAGGTGGAGAGGGGAAGGCCGCAGATACTGGCCAGATCGTCGGCACCGGGCTGTTCCTTAAGGTCGCGGACGAGACCGTTCGTGCGAGTATCGGGCCAGGCGATGGCGTTGTGGAGGGGCTCCCCGGTCTCCCAGTCAAAGCAGATGGCGGTCTCCCGTTGAGAGGTGATGCCGATGGCCTCGATGGCATCGGCGGAGTGACCGAGGGCGAGGAAACTCTTCATGGCCTCTTCGATGCAAATGTAGACGGAGTCGACCAATTCGAAGGGATCCTGTTCATGGTAACTACGAAAATTAGCTTTCTATCTTTTTCTCTCTTTCTCTCTTTCTCTCTTTTTGATTTCTTTTTCTTTTTCTTTTTTTTTTTTTTTTTT